GCATCGGAGGACCTACCTGGGTGCCATAGCTGGTCTTCTCGCCAGCGACCTGCAGCACAGCGGGGCACTCCAGTTCGTCAGTACGCTGACACACGTGAGGTAGTGGAGGTTGACATCTTCTCCTTCCACCCTCCATCGTCCTCTTCTTCTTCTGCTACTGCTTCTTCTTTCAGAGAGAGAGAGAGAGAGACTTCAGGCAGAGGTTATGTCGGGCTATGGGCCCAGGACCTGATTCGACATCACAGGGGCAGACATTGATTGAACATTCAGCAGGGAGACTATTTTTGGATTATGCTGTTGCGACTTTGGTCTTCTCCCTCCTCGCCATCTTCATCTTGCTCTTCCTCCTCCCCTCCATCCGTGGTTTCTGCCCTTGTGCGTGATCAAGGAGGGACCTTTCTTCCATGTATGCGGTCCCTCCCTTCCCCTCTCACATGTGTGATGACTGATGGGAGTCGTGTCAGTGTCAGTCAGGTCAGGTCATATTTCCGAGTCTTCCACTGCGCTACATTATGCTMTTTTTGTATGTAWCYGGACATACATTKCTTGTTCATGCTTCGCTGATGCTGCATTGTCCATTCGAGTCCTTATCATCACTTTGCTGATCCTTTGGCTCCATATACATCGCTCGGTTTATATCGAGCATGTGTCAGAGAGAGATGAATGGGACAGTGGACATGGGGATAGTGTCCAACTTTTCAAAAGAATAATACATAGAGAGTGTATGATACGAGGGGGAGAGAGAGGGAGGGATGCAGACATGACAGCGGACGTTGGGATGGGGCCGAGGGGCAATACAGACCAGATGAAAAATTTGGGGAGGAAGGGATGGAGGAAAACAGATAGACAAGCAGAGCTCGGGACAAGATGGGGGAGTTTGGGGATGGGGTCCAAGGACAACATGCAACAGACAGAGAAACAGAAACAACAACGACATCAGAGAGTTTTGTTATTGCTCCATGCAATTGTGGCCCATGTTAGCCCTCAATGTTGGTTGGCTGTCTTTTTTTTTAAAGACCATTTCTCTATTTATGTGTGTCATTTTTCTTTTTTTTTCCCAAAGGCCAACTACCCAGAGGGTGATAAGAGCACCCCCCGGTTGGAGGCCGTCATTGGATGGCTCCAATCTATTCATGGGGAGCTGCACGTGCTGGAAATCGGGTCCAGCGTCCCTGTGACAAATTATGACATGTTGATAGGATGATAAACACAGGGCAGCATTGATTGCGCTCATAGGAGGGGATTAACTGCCCTGCTGTACCCAGATGTGGGCAACCCTCCCCATTCTCTCCAGTAACCCTCACTGCAGGGGCCATGATGATCTTCTCTGTATTGTTCCAATTTCAAAGGACGTCCGACCAGGCACCCCATATTGCCATCCCACTGTCCAGCCCAACTGCTTGCGGATAATTGGTATGGTGTTCAAGGGGTACTACCAGCGTAGCATTGGATCAGATAAAACTTCATAAAAGTGTAGGCATCGAGACCAATGCTTGTCACTACTGTCTTCCCCCAATAGAACACACAGTCAGTATAGCCGTATCTGGGGAAATTTCAATCTAGACAGAACAATGATGATTGTGTTCTATTTGGGGGAAGACAGTAGTCTCAGTCCTATTACTACTATTCTTCGTTTATGTTGTTCACTAAAGACAAACAAAAGCAGCTGTTGCACACTATTTCGTTGGACTTTCACGGGATCATCAGGAGATTGAACGTGAGCGTTTTCTGCGAGTACAAACACTCACTTCTTTTTACATGGGCGAACATGTTCTGCATTTTTGTGCAGTGAATAGCTGAACCCAAGTACACAGAAGAGAGCAGAAATGTGTGCATGAGTAGCTAGATCAAGAGGACCGTTCACCACCCAGCTCAGGCGCTCCATCAATAGCATGTATACCATATATGTATTTTATATTTTAGCCTCCGGACGAGTCAGCGAAACTCCGATGAAAGTCTGTCACAGGCCCTCGTTTGTTGTCCTCTTCTCCCTCTCTGCCTATGGTTTACCGGGCAGTTATGCTAGCCGATATATATTGTCACAGAATGATCAGAGCGCAAAAGAGAACAAAAAACAAAAAGAAAATGAATTCGTTTTTTTATCTTCTTCCTTACAACTCCCCCTGTTCAGAACCTCTTGCGTACAAGGCCGCCCACGTGGATGTAGGTTGAGCGGCGGCTGCCCCCACCCTTGTGTCTCATATCGACCCACTTGCACACAGCCAAAGGGCAAAGAGGCAAAGAAAAGGGGAAGGAAACAGCCGAACACAACAAAAAGGGGGAAACAAATCCTGGATGACAAGTCCCACATGTAAGCACCGCCCCCACGTCACAGGCCAAACAACGGGACAAGACCAACCAGGATATAAAAACACCTTGCCTGCAAAAAAAGAAATCAATCCATCACCAACCAGGATATAAAAACACCTTACCTGCAAAAAAAGAAATCAATCCATCGCGGCTGCCACCGGCTCTCTGTGCTGAAGAGTGTCCAACAAAACATAAAAAAAGACACTCCCAGATGATGATCCCACATAAAAGCACCGCCCCCAAACCTAGGCCGAACAACGGGAAACAACCAACCAGGATGCCAAAAAAAAGGGCCCGGATGACTAGTCCCACATGAAAGCACCGCTACGCATCCCAAATAGTCGAACAACGGGACAAAACCAACCGGGACGCAGACAAGGTTCCAAAACAAATTCTGCCATATCAATAGTATCCCAAAAAAACGGAACCATACAGTAGGTCCGCAAAACGAAATACCCCAACCACCGCATCATCTGCAGAAGAATACACACACACAAATATACAGGGTTGCACAGGTGCCAACCGCCGCCCAATCAGCAAACGGCCTGCCCCTGTGTGTGTCTCTGTGTGTGTGTGTGTGTGTGTGTGTGTGTGTGTGTGTGTGTGTGTGTGTGTTTTAAGATGGGGTTATATTGCGCTTAACCTGTACAACCCAAATCCACGGACAAACTGTGTGTTCCAACAATTTTGTTTCCGGGAAGGGGGGGGAGGGGGGGTGCGGGGGGGGGTTCGGGAGGCTGGTTGGGGGTTTGAGGGAGAAATTGCAGACGAAATGACAATTATGACATACTTTTTGACAACTTACCTAGGGAGATATCCCGGGCGCCCGGGTCCCGACGTCACGCCCGGTTTGGCGACCGGGTGACCGGCCGGGCATGACCCCCGGGCATGGGGCCGGGCAGCCCCAGCGCAAAAAAAANAAAAAAAAACTCCACAAAAAATCTGCAAAAAAAAAATGTTGTGTAGAATTGCAATACAAACAACTTTTGGCTGAGGGTCACATCAGAATTCCTCACGGAACTGAAGATAAAAAAAAAACAAAACAAAAAAAAATCACATTAAGGCACCCCCCTTTAAACCCCTTTAGCCCCTTTGAAATTCATTTATACTCCCCTTCCCCCCCCTTGACAGCCAACTCTCAAAAAAAGAAACGAGCCCGGATTTGGGCTCCTCTTGGAGAGCGCGGAAAACCCCCACCGTCAAATTTTTTATTATTATTTTTTTTTAATGTTTTCCCCATGCCCGGGTATCCCGGTTGTCAGACCCCCCCGGGCATCACGCCCGGGTGACCGGCCGGTCATGGAAATCTTCCTAGCAACTTACCAGATTTTCCTCCGTCCCAGGACTTGGGGGGAAGGGGGGGGAAAGCAGAAACTTCAGGCATCTGCAGAAAGTCTGAGAGCTCAACTAAAGTTGAAGAACTGAGTTGAAGAAGAAGAACCCAGTTGAACGAGAAGAAAATTGAGAGGTGTGACAAATCTTTTACAGAGCTACATGCTACGAGCGCCTCTCTATGACGATATACAAATATGTATGTATATAATATATATAAATTATTATAAATACATATATATCATCAAACAGAGCTGCCCGGTAAACCGTAGGCAGAGAGGACAACAAACGAGGGGTTGTGACAAACTGTTTCGTCGGAGTTCCACCGACTCATCAGGAGGCTGGTATATACATATCGTAGATGTATTCTTTCGCAGAGCTACATACTAAGAGCGCCTCTGTGAGAGAGAGCAAGAGAGGGAGAGAAGAACAGAGCCAAAGAAGTGCAGCTCTATTTTTTCTTTTTCACTTTTTTGTTGTTTTCTTTTTTATCATTTACGGGCGGACTATTGCCACGGTGGGGCTTGGCTCAGCAAGCCACATACATCAAGGGAAAGGATATGTCGGTCCCACCTGATCCTCTTTGTTGGACATGGGCAGTCACGACCACTGCTCTTTCACTTGGATTGCCACTCACATGATCCTCACGCTGAATGGGACCCCACCCCCAGTTTCTCTGTTGCCGCAAGTCTGTCTCACGCCGATGTTTGGCTGCCTACAAACGTAGACAGATGGATATACGACCAAACATCTGCCATGATACTTGCAAAATTAATACAAAACACAAAACTCATAGATTGAATGCGGTTTGACTCCTACTCATAAAGTCTAGAGCAAACTGTTCAGTCTTTACTTCTAAGTCATTAGAAAAACTCCAATGACATTTGGAAAATAAAAAAAGGGGAAAACGATATTGTATGAGCTCTGGAATCTTATACTCGAATGGAACGCTTACCTCAAAGTTCATTTATAAGCCGTAGAAGTAGCACACTTTGAAGTTCAATGTTCAACATGTGCCCTGATGAGCCGCTCTATTAGAAACCAAAAAAGAGGGGCATTGTCATCGTTGCTTGAAAACAAAAAGCTCTAAGAGCTTTTCCCGTACGAACTTCTATTCTGTCAATCCTTGCCACCTCAATCCATAGGTAAAGTACTTAACCCCATTCAATACGTTAAAAAAACATCACTAAGAAACAAAAACGAAAAGATAATGATTACAAGGCGTAGAACAGGAATTTTCATTGGTGGACTTCACTACCGGGTCCCAGCTTGGGACCCGGACTGCAGGACCTGAAAAAATTGGCGCCAACAGCACTGAGCAGGGATCACTGAGCTGCAGAATAGGAGGAATAACTTACTGCGGGTTTGTAGCCAGATCGCTTAGTGGAGCTATATTTGTCGAGGGCTGCTCCAGTGAAAGCATCTTTGCTATTTGCAGAGTTGCCGACGGCCCAAGCAGCACGTTGGGCACTGGAACTCCGCCGCTTGACTGAGCAAGTGTTAGCGCATGAAGGTACCTGCAGCAAAGCATTTTTTCGAAGTTTAGTCGGTGTGTGAATCTTCTCCTCTTAGCTATTTCAGGCTAAGGCTTGAAATTCGAAGGCTGCTACTGAGGTAAGTTCCATTTTCCTTTCACTCCGACGAGGACGCACGGATTTGGATTGAACTCACCTGGTGATGGCGCATGGTACCTCTTGAGCTCCTTGAACTGCGGGACATTGTTTCTGGTAATTAACCATTCATGTGGGACGCAAGGTCGGTCAGCAGCTATGATCTGATAAGGTTGGGTGGAGGATAGCGAGGCATTAGGTGTGAGGATACAAAAAAAAAATAAAAAAATTCATAGCTATTACGGGTCGGAGAGTAGGGTTCGGGACAGATACCGAAAGAGGTGAGCAGTCTAGACCGCGTTTGAATAGAATTCTGCTCCGAGTAAGAGGAATATGAGATAGATCTAGCCGGAACTAAGTCGGGAGGATTAGCCCCTACAGATTCTAATGCGAACGGGCAGTGATTGGGTTGCTGGAATAGACCAGTTGCGTCGAAACGCCGCGAGGCGGCATAAGGTAGGGGTCGAGGAGTTCGGCGATTCAACTGATTGCGGTGGCGCGTCATTCCGAAGTCAAACTCGGGCACTTGGCGACTACTTAATGGAAGGAACCTTGCGGGAGAAGACACGCATCAAGGATGGTGGAGGCCGCCCGTCCGGTATGCCTTCACCTCCTTCCGAGTGCTTCGCGAAAGAAGCGCTCGATAGTTGGAAGGAGGTAATAATCGGCAATAGCAACTGCTCCGTAGGGCGTAGCAATCCGATGACTTTCAGCAGTAGGCTAAGAGATTTCCTAGTTATCGACTTGGCCGAAGGGACGCTCTCCTGGCCTGAGGACGCCGGATTATTAGAAGGGTGGGATCTCGCTAGGGTTAAGGCTATCCTAAAGCACTTGCCTTGGGTAGAGGAGACTTCGAAAGAAGATCTAGTTGCAGCCTATCTCGGGACAAGAAGTCTTTGCTACTTCGAAGAAGAGAGGGAAACGTGGGTTGTAGACAAGAGATTTTGGGTAAGGGCCAGGGACGATTGGCTTTTAGGTCATATCATGGCTTTCTCGACGTTCTCAGAGATTTACGGGGAAAGGATAGGGAGATTACCAATCAAGAAGATCGAAGGATTAAGGGAGATAGTGAGGGAAGTTTCGCGAAGGCGCTGGGCGTTTTGATGGGAGCCCCTCAGATTACCAATCATTGCCCCTCTGTTTGGGGCTTGGCATTTTTTGCCAAGCAGGCCGTAATGGCCTTGCATTTTATGCACTTGGGAGGTTTTTGGCTTAAGGGGACTTTTCGGAGGGACATCCGTGCTCGGCCCGGGGTGCGGCGTCTTCCCATGGGGCTTCAGGCCCGCCTGAACCTACCTATGGACTTTTTGTATCCGACGGATGGACCTGGCAG